AATCAACACCACAGAGCATCGGCGGCTGCTTTTCATCTCAATGGTGCCCCAGTTAAGCAGTGAATTTAAACGCATTGATTTGATAGTTCAAAAATCAGATCACAGATTACATCCACAGCAGACATCCACGGCAGAATGGGCCAAGCGAAGAAGAAGCAGCCTTACATTAGTATGAACACCCCCTCCAAAACCTGGACCTTGCTGAAATAAAACCTTGATAGGCCTGTTTGTTGAAATGCAATATGGAATTTCCATATGTGGTCACACCTGAAACAAAAACATTGAGACTGCTGCCAGCGAAAACCAACTGTTGGTGATCAAATACAGCAAAGCAGCATACTGGTTATGTGGTCAACCACCTAGAACAACCACCAGCTAGGGCCTAAAGAAGATATTGATGTGACCACAAAAATAAAAACAAAAGGTTAATGTGTCACATCTATGTTTGTGTATAGTTGTAGTAAGTGTAATGGCAGAGGGAAAAATGAGTGTCAAACCTGTAAAGGAAAACGCCAACTGCTGACCTACATCGAGCTCAAAGTGGAGTGGTGAGTACAAGTACTGAGCTGTTCCAACATTGCAATAATTCAGTGGCTTTACTAGGTTTCTTGAAGATGTTGTGATTTTTTACATATATATGAATATAGTTATTGTGTGTATTTAGGAAAAACAATGTGGAAGACCACGTGGTGGAGCATAACTCTGGTTTAAAGACTGATAAGCTGTGCTCAGTGAATGGGAAGGAGCTGTTCAAGAACAGCCAGAACTTGGTATGCACACACGCGCGCACACACACACACACACACACACTCACACTCGTGTGTGTGTGTATTTATATCCTTGTGGAGACATCTCATTGACATAATGCTTTCCCTAGCCGCTTACCCTAACCCTAACCATCAAAAATGATTGCCTAACCCTTACCCTAAACCTAACCTAATTGTAACCCTGACACTAAAACCACATTTTGAGTCTTAAAAATGCCTTCAAACGAGGGCTGTATAGTATAGTATAGTAAACTACCAGTTTTTGGCCCCCATGAAAACCACAGACACACACACAGCTAATGTAGCTTCACACTTTTCAGTTCAGTAATTTCATACCAAAATATACACAATAAACTACATCACAGTAATTTCTACACAATAGTTTAGAATACTGTATTCCAAATTTTGCATTTTAAAGATGAATTAATCTTCATAAGTAAAACATAATGCCACAGCAGGAGCTCACTTCAGCCAGATGTAGTTTAGGTAAACATAAACGTAAGAAGTAAAAGACATTGCTGGGGTTAGCTGTGTGTATATTGCATGTTAATTTCTCTTTTTTATCCCTCAGGTTTACCCGCTGATTGGGTTTCCAAACCCAGGAGTCTCTCAGGCCTCTGACCGTCTGATCAAAGAACATCAAACGAAGTATGGCCAAACCTCCAGGATTCTGCAGCAGGTAGGCCGACACACAGCTCAAGAGAAAAATAAAAGGTCTATTCTAGTGTGCCTGTGTTGCTCTGCAATTTTGCCACCAAAATGCTTGTTGGTGGGGGAGTTTCTCTCTTTATGTTGATTCATACACTTCCAGTCAGTTGCAACAAAACATGAACTACACAATTCTGGAAGTAACCAGAAATGTGTAGAAGAAACAAAAGCACCAAATGGGCCAATCACGGTGTCATGAGTGTGATGAGACGCATACATTTACAATTCCAGGAAAGTTTGTGGTGTAATTTACAATGTGGGGTTTCAGAGGGGTTTGTTCTTTTGACACAAGTAACGTTTTCAAAGACCTTCAGAGTGCAATGTTTAATTAAAATGAAATATTCCAAAGTTAAAACAATACTATGTACAGTATCGGCGAGATTTTGTGAAAATAGTCCACGTGTCATAAGGAGATATACAGTTTGATGGCCACATGTAGTGTTTTGTGGTGC